TGCTTTAGAAGCTCGTCACGTGCTAGAGCGATAGGAGTTAGTTCAATTCCTGCATTTTATGAGCTAAGTTTTTTTCTTAGATCAATTCTCGCATTTTCTGAGATTTTTTGTTATACTTGACTTTGTATAAATTTTGGTAAGCTACTTTCTCTACGGGAAGTGCTGCCGAAATTTCTGCAAATCCAAGGAGTTAGTCAACTTTTGACTTTCAAACATCCAGCTTGTCTAAAGTTCATACATGGCTTTGTAAAAATATGGAAAGTTTCATTTTCTAAAGGCAGTGCTGCCTAAAGTTTTGTTAAATGAGGGAGTTAGACAAAATTGGACTTTGGAAACTCAAAGGCTATTTCTGTTTGCATATCTGGGCTGATATAAATTGTGAAAAAGCATTTTTCCTACGGGAAGCGCTGCCGAAATTTTCTTAGTTTAAAGGAGATAGATTATATTTTGACGGGTGACGATTTTGACAATCCACTGTGTATAGGGAAGACTCTGTCAAGGTCTACCTTTGCTTTAAGCACTGCTTAAGAGTAGACTTAGGCCTAGTTAGTTAGGCAGATTTTTGGAGTAGGATCGTGATTATCCTCCAAGAACTTATAGATTTAGCTTGGGGATTGGCCTGTCATGTGTTACAGGTCCTTTTGATCAGTTGATTCTGGATCTCGACTAGACTCAGCTAGATCCTACAAGGATCTTCTTCTGTTATCACAGATAATAGGTCGGTTGCCGATTCGTCGGTCTGCGACTCAATTCCAACTCGCTCTCCATACTCAACCTAAAAGGTTTTAGCCCTTGTGACTTTAGTGTTTGTTAAGAGTTTCACCCGGACTTTTATTGAATGACCATTTAACAAAGGTACTGAGTATTTAATTATGGTTGGTTGGACCGGAGATTGAGGCTTGCATGGCTAAAGCAAGGGGTATGAGTGTCGAGAAGGGTTGGGGTTGACTCCGTGTAGTGCGTGGACTGTTGTTTGACTCTTTGATGTGATTGCAGGTATGTGTTGTGGCTTAGATTCTGGATTTGATTGCTTGCGACCACTTATATACATATGGTTGTAAGGAGCCCTACTGAGACTGTGAGAAGTGATCGTCACATACTTATCCCCCTTTTATATACGTACACGAGTGTGCACCCATGAAGAGTGTTCGCGTGGCCTAAGGGGCCCTAAGAGCCTACTCAGAGGTTAAGACTGAGAGACATAGGGGAGACCCTCCCCTTTCTTTTGTTTACTTTTTGGAGATTTTTCTTGGTCAGGCGTTGGTCCCGGGTCGGGATTCAAGGTCTTTGTCCAGGACATCCCAAGCCCTAGACTTTGCAGGGCAGGGACTTCCCCTCGCACAGAGTCTATTTACTCTGCCCATCGAGACGCCCAACCCTGAGGGTCGAAGCGTCGCAAGGGCCGAATGGCAGGTCCTTCAGCCGTTCAATATCGTGAGGGGTGGCCCCTCGCGATATATTCCTTCAGCCATTCAATATCGTGGGGCCGGAGCCGCGATTACCACGCATGCCTAGCATCGTTGGTTGTCATAGGATTGACCTGCAACCGGACATCTTTATACTGAAGCCCATGCGCGCGGTGTTTCGCCGCCCTGACATCTAAAAGTTATGGGATCAAGGGACTCACATGTATGCGCGAACGCTCGGGATTATTATAGGTCGTTGGCGCTGACCGAAAGGGGGCACCCCAGGGTCATGACTCCCTTGGGATAGGGGGGGCTTCGACCTACTCTTGCTTCTTAAAGATTTTTATAGTTGGACGTTGTAGTCCGAGGCAGCCGTCAAAGTCGAACCCCTTGACTTCCGCCCAGGCCCGGAGTGGAACTCACCTCCAGGGCCGCAAGACGCGATTGCCACAACAAGTATGGACCTGTGTACCACCCACTCTGCACAGAGTGCAGAAGAGGGTGTGTGGTCTTCAACCGCGCATGGCGGTTGTTGAGCGCCGGGAGACTGACCCTCAATGCGCATGTCAGCCGACACGTGAGTGTCGAATGCGACCCTCGAGATTAACGAGGACCACGTGAGTATGGGTACTACATAGTACGCCATCATTGCGACCGCTTGCGTACGCTTGCATTGCGAGTCAATATGAGTAAATCCGGCGTCCACGCGACTTTATATGAGGCCTTGCGCGTGACGCTCATCCAATTTCTGCATCGGGGAGTTATGGGATAACTACCGAGGGGCTAGTAGCGTTGTCGCGTTGTTTGTGTTCTGTCGTTTCATGTGTATGTGTGTGTGTTCTTTTTTTGTGCTCGTAGAGTGGTGTGCGCGTGGTGTGTGGGATGCGTCCTAGTCGACCGACGACGAGCCGCGCTTGGGACTTCAGCCCCCCAAGATGTCGGTTCGCGTGCGGGTCCGATAGGCGTATTACCGCCCGTACCCCCTATGCTACAACGAACGAGAAACGCCCTCGGCTGGTCCACCTTTGCGATTGCAACTGATCAGCTTTCGTACTGTGGACTGGTAGCTCGGCGGGGATACGCCCACCGAAGGGAGGTGACAACTCCCATAAGGTGGAGGTAAGTTGTGCCTCGCGTAGGCCCTATCCTGTCGTAGGGGCTCGCGAGAGGTATGGCTGGCGCACTCGGCC